CCCCAAAACCCCAAAACCCCAAAACCCCAAAACCCCAATAAACTATAAAAATCTAGAATTACTAAAGAAATTATAACAAATTAAAATACATGGAAAGCTATAAAAAATTCTGGAAAGATCATTTGGATGCACATAACAAGATGAGGACAGATCCGAAAAGTTTCATCCCCGTGCTTGAAGAGAGGTTGGGCAATATGAAAGGAAAGACCTTGGTTAGGAAGGGAAAACCTGATCTGATGACAAAGGAAGGAGCCAAAGCTATTAAGTAAGCATTTTTAGTACACTTTTGGGTAATGAAGGAGATCAGCGATTTTCACTCAATTTTATTTCATCCGAATTACTTTTTGATTTAATCCTCGATGTGAGAAAATATTTATAATTTGTTTAGAGAAGCTATCAGCTTCCTTAAAAAACAAAAAACCTTAGGCAAGCTTAAGTTATCAAAGGAGCTGTGCTACGCAGCTCAGGATCACGCACAAGATAGTGGAGACAACGATATGAGAGGGCATAATGGAAGTGGTAAGATTTATTTCTCATTCTACAAATGGAGCTGTAAAAACTAATAGTTACTATAAAAATCCTGTTATTCGTACAATTCCGGCTAATTACCGATGAGTCTAACCATGCCTCTTTAGATGGATGCACACTTACGGATAGAGTCAAAAGGTACTGCAAGGTCTCAGGCTGCATTGGCGAGAATATCAGCTACAGAGTTGGCAATGGAATGGAAACAGTTCTCAGACTCGTAGTTGATGATGGCGTCACGTCAAGAGGACATCGAAATAATATTTTTAACTCCTCCTTTGAGTTAATTGGAGTCGGTCTCTATAAGCACCCAACTTGGGATAACCTGGTGGTATTAGATTATGGAGCTGGCCTTACTCCTCTAGGCGATAAGGGTAAGAAATTGCCAAGCAAATCCTATAAGACTTATAAACCAGTAGAAGAAGAATCGAAGGTTGTTCCTGATTCTGATGATGTCAAACTTGAGGATTGCCCTAAATATTTTCAAAAATTTATTATTTCTAAGAAGCTTAAGGACGGAGAATACAAGATCAAAGTCGAAGACGGCAAATATTACTTGGTTACATTAAGCAAAGTACCCAGATTTATGCCAAAATCTGTTGCTAAGAGTTCTCCAAAATCTATCAGAAAGACTTCAAAATCCCCTACCAGAGTAGCTCTGGGAGGAGGAACGCCTACAAACTACAAATCCAAGACAATAAACACCAAAATCACAACATGTGGGAGCCAAAAGACCACTAAAACAACCACTACTTACACATTCTGGGACGGCTCTTCCAGAACAGTGACCCATAAAGTAACCAAGGCTGCATAATTATCCCTCATAATAATTCTACTAAAATCGTAAAATCAGGGGTTTTGGGGTTTTGGGGTTTTGGGGTTTTGGGGTTTTGGGG